CAATATTGAGAAAAATACAAAAATGTGAAAATTTGATGAATATTTTGCTTTTTCATGTTGCTATGGTAACACTTGGGGAACAAAGCACAATACAACAAATCATTTAGAACAAAAGTCATGGCAAATTTTATTCTCAACAATATTGCTCTCTTGCACTTTTGCTCTTAGATACGTCAATATTGAGAAAAATGCAAAAATGTGAAAATTTGATGAATTTGGTGCTTTTTCATGTTGCTATGGTAACACTTGGGGAACAGAGCACTATACAAAAAATCTTTTAAAACAAAAGTTATGGCAAATTTTATTCTCAACAATATTGCTCTCTTGCACTTTTGCTCTTAGATGCGTCAATATTGAGAAAAATACAAAAATGTGAAAATTTGATGAATATTTTGCTTTTTCATGTTGCTATGGTAACACTTGGGGAACAAAGCACAATACAAAAAATCTTTTAGAACAAAAGTTATGGCAAATTTTATTCTCAACAATATTGCTCTCTTGCACTTTTGCTCTTAGATGCGTCAATATTGAGAAAAATACAAAAATGTGAAAATTTGATGAATATTTTGCTTTTTCATGTTGCTATGGTAACACTTGGGGAACAAAGCACAATACAAAAAATCTTTTAGAACAAAAGTTATGGCAAATTTTATTCTCAACAATATTGCTCTCTTGCACTTTTGCTCTTAGATGCGTCAATATTGAGAAAAATACAAAAATGTGAAAATTTGATGAATATTTTGCTTTTTCATGTTGCTATGGTAACACTTGGGGAACAAAGCACAATACAAAAAATCTTTTAGAACAAAAGTTATGGCAAATTTTATTCTCAACAATATTGCTCTCTTGCACTTTTGCTCTTAGATGCGTCAATATTGAGAAAAATACAAAAATGTGAAAATTTGATGAATATTTTGCTTTTTCATGTTGCTATGGTAACACTTGGGGAACAAAGCACAATACAAAAAATCTTTTAGAACAAAAGTTATGGCAAATTTTATTCTCAACAATATTGCTCTCTTGCACTTTTGCTCTTAGATGCGTCAATATTGAGAAAAATACAAAAATGTGAAAATTTGATGAATATTTTGCTTTTTCATGTTGCTATGGTAACACTTGGGGAACAAAGCACAATACAAAAAATCTTTTAGAACAAAAGTTATGGCAAATTTTATTCTCAACAATATTGCTCTCTTGCACTTTTGCTCTTAGATGCGTCAATATTGAGAAAAATACAAAAATGTGAAAATTTGATGAATATTTTGCTTTTTCATGTTGCTATGGTAACACTTGGGGAACAAAGCACAATACAAAAAATCTTTTAGAACAAAAGTTATGGCAAATTTTATTCTCAACAATATTGCTCTCTTGCACTTTTGCTCTTAGATGCGTCAATATTGAGAAAAATACAAAAATGTGAAAATTTGATGAATATTTTGCTTTTTCATGTTGCTATGGTAACACTTGGGGAACAAAGCACAATACAAAAAATCTTTTAGAACAAAAGTTATGGCAAATTTTATTCTCAACAATATTGCTCTCTTGCACTTTTGCTCTTAGATGCGTCAATATTGAGAAAAATACAAAAATGTGAAAATTTGATGAATATTTTGCTTTTTCATGTTGCTATGGTAACACTTGGGGAACAAAGCACAATACAAAAAATCTTTTAGAACAAAAGTTATGGCAAATTTTATTCTCAACAATATTGCTCTCTTGCACTTTTGCTCTTAGATGCGTCAATATTGAGAAAAATACAAAAATGTGAAAATTTGGTGCTTTTTCATGTTGCTATGGTAACACTTGGGGAACAGAGCACAATACAAAAAATCTTTTTAAACAAAAGTTATGGCAAATTTTAGGGAAATTTACAAAAAGATTTGTATTTAAATGGGAAGTAGGTCGAAACGTAACAAAAACGTCGAAATGGTAAATCGATGCGTTCCCTTCCGGTGCTCTTTTGGGAAAGAGGGTCCATTTGATTTAACGCGAACCGCTATCTACGAAATTCCATATTCTAAACTGAAATTCTGTTGCAGTGCGAACCGGGACTGGGCGCCAGCGTGATGTATGACTTGCTGTACAACCAGCCGCAGAAGCTAATGCTCTTGGCGGGATGTAGCACCGTCTGCACAACCGTTGCCGAAGCGGCCAAAATGTGGCACCTAGTCGTGGTAAGTTCAAATATTTCTTTTCTCATCCCACCCTTTCAGAACGATTTATCGATTTAATTTGGACCGAATCGGACGAGATGGACTTCAATTTCTCAACGCGATTTATTCGAACCTAATGACTCAATTAAATCCTTAATAAATGACAAAAATAAATTTTCTATCTAAAAAGAAATCTAATAAGAAAGAAGTTAATAAAAACTAGGTTCCGTCGAAAATAACTTTTGAAAGCTCGGAACCTTACCATTTGCTAAATTAAATTTTCGTTTCCGACCTTAAAAGAGACGAGACGAGACGAGTAGAGTGACGTCAAATCACAATGTTAAGGTGGCCAATTTTAGACTTGGTGAACCTGATGACGTCTGCACAGGTAGAAAACGGATCAATGCCACTAGACTCACTCTCTAACACCGGAAATGTACACGACTAATGCATTAACCTAATCCATTCGAATATCATTTCATACTTATTTCATATTAAAATTTTTCTTGTATTGAAATAAAACTAGAACTAACACTAGACCTAGAACTTAAAATGAAAATAAATAATTCACCAATATTTCGGTAGACAATTTAAAAAGGCGTAAAATGAGTCCAAACTCGACATATCTAGGTGGTTTAACACCCGAGATATCTTTGTTTTTAAAAATCAAGATGGCCGAAAACAAAACACTAATTATTTATGTCATTTATAGTTTCAAAAGTGAATTTGATGGTAGATATAGACCGTGATATATCAAATTAGGTTAGAATTTTCTGATCTCTACAAAAATTGTATTATTTTTAATGTTGTTTAAATTTTATAAAATTCAAGATTGCTGAAAATAAATAATGCGTGTGTATTACGGTAGATAATTAAAAAACGCGTAAAATGAGCCCAAACTCGACCTATCTATGTGTTATAACACCCGAGATATCTTTGTTTTTAAAAATCAAGATGGCCGAAAACAAAACACTAATTAATTATGTCATTTATGCTTTTAGAAGTGAATTTTATGATAGATATATAGTGTGATATATCAAATTAGGTTAGAATTTTCTGATCTTTACAAAAATCGTATTATTTTATTTGTTTTTTAAATTTTAAAAAATCTGAGATGGTCGAATATAAATGGTGCGTGTATAGTACGGTAGATAATTAAAAAATGCGTAAAATGAGTCCAAACTCGACCCATCTATGTGTTATAATACCCGAGATATCTTTGTTTTAAAAATTCAAGATGGACGAAAACAAAACACTAATTAATTATGTCATTTATGCTTTTAGAAGCGAATTTTATGATAGATATATAGTGTGATATATCAAATTAGGTTAGAATTTTCTGATCTTTACAAAAATCGTATTATTTTATTTGTTTTTTAAATTTTAAAAAATCTGAGATGATCGAATATAAATGGTGCGTGTATAGTACGGTAGATAATTAAAAAATGCGTAAAATGAGTCCAAACTCGACCTATTTATGTGTTATAACACTCGAGATATATTTGTTTTTAAAAATCAATATGGCCGAAAACAAAACACTAATTATTTATGTCATTTATAGTTTCAAAAGTGAACTTGATGGTAGATATAAAGTGTGATATATCAAATTGGGTTAGAATTTTCCGATCTTTATAAAATTCGTATTATTTTTTGTTTTTTAAATTTTATAAAATCCAAGATCCTCGAAAATAAATAATGCGTGTATATTACAGTAGATAATTAAAAAACGCGTAAAATGAGTCCAAACTCGACCTATCTATGTGTTATAAAACCTGAGATATCTTTGTTTTAAAAATTCAAGATGGACGAAAACAAAACACTAATTAATTATGTCATTTATTCTTTTAGAAGTGAACTTTATGATAGATATAAAGTGTGATATATCAAATTAGGTTAGAATTTTCTGATCTTTACAAAAATCGTATTATTTTATTTGTTTTTTTAAATTTTAGAAAATCTAAGATGGTCGGAAATAAATAATGCGTGTATATTACGGTAGATAACTAAAAAACGCGTAAAATGAGTCCAAACTCGACCTATCTATGTGTTATAACCCTCGAAATATATTTGTTTTTAAAAATCAAGATGGCCGAAAACAAAACACTAATTATTTACGTCATTTATGATTTTAGAAGTGAATTTTATGATAGATATAAAGTGTGATATATCAAATTAGGTTAGAATTTTCTGATCTTTATAAAAATCGTATTATTTTATTTGTTTTTTAAATTTTAGAAAATTTAAGATGGTCGGAAATAAATAATGCGTGTACATTACGGTAGTTAATTAAAAAACGCGTAAAATGAGTCCAAACTCGACCTATCTATGTGTTATAACACCCGAGATATATTTGTTTTTAAAAATCAAGATGGCCGAAAACAAAACACTAATTAATTATGTCATTTATGCTTTTAGAAGTGAATTTTATGATAGATATAACGTGTGATATATCAAATTAGGTCAGAATTTTCCGATCTTTACAAAAATCGTATTATTTTTTTTGTTTTCTCAATTTTATAAAATCCAAGATGGTCTAAAATAAATAATGCGTGTATATTACGGTAGATAATTAAAAAACGCGTAAAATGAGTCCACACTCAACCTGTCTATGTGTTATAACACCCGAGATATCTTTGTTTTTAAAAATCAAGATGGACGAAAACAAAACACTAACTAATTATGTCATTTATGCTTTTAGAAGTGAACTTTATGATAGATATAAAGTGTGATATATCAAATTAGGTTAGAATTTTCTGATCTTTACAAAAATACTATTATTTTTTATGTTATTTAAGTTTGTCTGATGACGAACGGCTAAACCCGACTGTTTCTAGTTCTGGGTCTTAGGTTTCGCCGTCTTAAGAATTTGAATATACTGAATATTTCCATAAACTCATGAAAAACCGAAAAGATTGAAGTATTGAAAAGATGAAAAATTGTCATTACGGGCCTGTATTTTTCAAAAATGTGCAAACGATTCAAAACCTTTATGTACGACTCAAACCCTGTTTATAATACAGTTATATCCCTTAATACATTCCATAACATAAATACGGCCTTATAAATCAGCAATTAATGTGTAAATTTTTTTTTTCATCATGTTCCAAAATACATAGTTACATGAATACTTTAAAGTTAAATCCTTTCAAATGCATAATATAAGAAGAGATATATTATAAAAACAAAAATTGTCATACATTTTATGACACCGCGCCCGCTCGAAGGTTAATTAAAATATGCTGGTGCTCAAATGAAACCTAATTAAGTTAATTAATCAGATCATAAGCCCCCTCCCTTTGAAAGGCTGAAAACAGACGTTGTTATCCGGAAATTTCGTGGAAAATATAACACCTCCGACCTACTTAGAAACTTGAGGAAGTCTCGTCGAAAACCTGATAAGGATAATAACGTCCTTAGCAATAAGGGAAAGCTTTCCTCCGGTTTCCAAGATCGAAGATAACGATAAGCGCTAAACCGAAAACATTTAACCTAATTATTTTTTTAAAAACTTTTTCTTTAAGTCGAAACAACACGACGCGACGGTTAGGTTTTTAACTTTTCCGGACCTTACACATCCCAAGCACGAAAGCTTATATATCTTTCGTGGCGCGACATTGATGAATTGTCCTGCGGGTCGGGTTCTTTATCCTCTTTGCCAGGACGAAAACGTTAATCTCGAGCGAAAAGATTGATTCAAGTCCTAACTACGCGCTTAGCATATGCACTAAAAGAAAAAAAAACAACATTTATCTAAGTCCCAAGAAACGTTTTTTACCTTAATAAAATTTTCATTAAAACTTGTATAGTTTGTATCTTTCGTTCAACGAGTCGAATCAAACATTTATAGACTCGTGTACGTTTACTTTTACAAACGGGGAGAATTGAAGCAAATAAAACCAAATGGATGTGCATTTATTGTATGTTCCCGTTGGGAAAAGTGTTATCGATTTAAATTTGGAGAAAAATCTAGCAGAAAAATGGGGTTTCTATTTAATTTTCTCCCGCAGAAATCCGGGGCTTTTGTTCTGGAGCGAGGACGTGTAAAATTAATTTGCCATTACCTTGGGCCAAAGGGCGCGTTCGACTGTTTACCCGAATTACCTCCCTTTACAACTAGGAATGAATACAAACACCTCCAGAAGATAATTTATCGTTTTAATACGAACCATGTAAATATTTATCTATAATTTACTTTGGATTAGAAATTCTAAAACTTAAATTAATTCTCTTACCACAAAAATTTTTGTTTCATTAAACCTTATTAAATTATATATCGACACATTGCTGCACCTCAGCTAAACTTAAAGCGAAGAATCTATAACTTTGACCAATTACTATCGAAACTAATATTTTCAACTGATTAAGCCGAGGTCGCTTGCGGCCGAGGCTCTACAATTAATACCACATCAAACCAAAACCAATCAACTCATTGCAGCACTTCGACCTCAAACGTTCTCCTCTAAATTTACAGCGAAGAATCTATAATTTCGGCTGATTACTATCAAAACCAATATTTCCATCTGATTAAGCCGAGGTCGCTTGCGGCCGAGGCCCTACAATTAATACCACATCATAGCAAAGCTAGTCAAGACATTGCAGCGCTTCAGCTAAACTTAAAGCGAAGAATCTATATCTATAACTTCGACTGATTACTATCGTAATTAATATTTTATATGATTAAGCCGAGGTCGCTTGCGGCCGAGGCTCTACAATTAGTACAACATCAAACCAAAACCAATCAACACACTGCAGCGCCTCGACCACAAGTGTTCTCAGCAAAATTTACATCGAAGAATCTATAATTTCGGCTGATTACTGTCGAAACCAATATTATCATCTGATTAAGCCGAGGTCGCTTGCGGCCGAGGCTCTACAATTAATACCACATCATACCAAAACTAGTCGACACATTGCAGCGTCTCAGCTAAACTTAAAGCGAAGAATATCTATAACTTTGACTGATTACTAACGTAATTAATATTTTATCTGATTAAGCCGAGGTCGTTTGCGGCCGAGGCTTT